TGGCCTTAACTCACCAGGGTGGATTGCAGCACGGTGTGGCCTGGAGGCCTCAGTGCACACATCTTCTGTGCACTGAAGCACAGAATATTACTGTCTTGCCTGCTTCTTGCCTATTACCCATATTCACAATAGTTTGGAGAAGTCTGTCCCTCTACTGAGACAAGAATTAGGTGTTTTCCAGCTTTGGATATTGTTCTTGTCAGCAGACTAACTCTGTTTCAAGCTGCAAAGAGCAGATATTTTGCTTTTGGTCTCTGGAGTCTTTGCAATGGTAGATATCACTTGTGCTTTCAAACTAACAAAACTTTGTGAAGACATTTTCTGATATTGCCAGAAAGAATAATGATCATAGTCACAAAGCAAATGCTGTATTTAACTGTAAAATAATGAATTGAGGCTGAGAAGTCCAGCTCTTGCATCTTTCAGATGAGCATTTTTCAGTAGCTGCTGGGATATTTCCTTGAGATGATCTCATCAGAAAAGCAGTCTGTGAAGAGAACTTGAATGCTGATGGATCTGTTTTGTGCCTTCCTGCTCATCAGGCTGAGGATGAGACCTGGCAGTGCTTTCCAACTGTGCTCTTCTGAAGTCTTGGCTGATGGGTTTGCATTCCCTCTGCCCATCCAGGAAAGGAAGTCAGTTTGTGTACCTGTCTGATTACTTTTCTGACTAGGAATGTGTGAAAGAAATTGCCTTATGTTATTTTGGGGTGACCTGAAGGTAGGATGCTAATTTCTGATTCAAGATGATTTTCTGTGTGCCCAGAAAGCATCCTTTTACTTAATTAGCCTTGTCAGCAGTGACTCTTCAAGCTATTTCTTGACATCAAACGATCATGTCACAGCCTCTCAGTCAAATTATGCAGACAGATGAACTGATTCAGTCATCTTTATCAGATACTGTTTTACATTAATTGTATTTATAACTTTTATATCTAAATGAAAATAAACTAATTTATATATGAAAAAGTCTTTAATTCTAAATGATTGTTTTTATTTTGTTGTTACTTGTGGGTGTACTTTGTTCCTTCTCTGTGACTTATTACCTCAGTTTCTTTCGATTTCTTGAATATCATAATTTTCTTCTTACTCTTTTCCTTTGTAATTCTCAGTTCCCATTCTTTGTGGTGTTGGATATTTTTCCCATACAGTTGGAAATCTGGGAATAAATGTAAGGGTAGTCTCTCTAATACTTTTACCCCCTCCCTCCCCCAATATTATCAGGTATTGCTGTAGTTCTTGGTTTCTATTTGATTGTTTAAGCTAGTTCAATTTCTCTGCCCCATGTTTCTAATGTTTTTCCCAGCATCCAGCTAGGGCATTTGAGATGGTCCTTACTGCATTTTCCCACCTGAACCCATTCAACTGTTGAAGCACATAAGTTAATGTTTTCTGAATCAGGTACTGAAGTCATACAAGGCTAGGAAGAGTATCAAGTTGAAGTGGTTATATTTTCCTATTTCCACTGAGAGATGTATGAACCTCAATAAGAGGAGATATGATGGATCTGGTAAACAGAAACTGGCACAGCTCTCAACATGCAAGCTCTATTCTTTAAGCACCTCTGTTTTTTCCACTATTTCCATCTGAGCCAAATTAGTTTTAGAGGGAAGAGAAAATTAAGTGGGAAACATGACTGGGCACTAGTTCTTAACACAGTAATATTAGCTGAATATGTGCAAATGTAGCATGCTAGAAACGCCAGCAAGATCTTAAAGAAGCATATTAAATGTTAAACTGGAGTCCTAAAGGCAAGCCTAGCAGATGGAAATGGCTCTTAGGCTGTTATAGGCTCTTGGGCTTACAAACATAAAAGACAGTTAATTATTTTTTGTGGTTTTAGGGCTCTCTGTCTCATTGAAGTTTTGCTGCTGAAATTGGTAGCAGTAGGACAGGAGGTTTTACTGCTGTTAGTATAATGGTTACACCTATACTAATAATTAATTAATGTGCTCCTCTACTTGCTGGGATTAACAGCTCTGTAAATCTCTTGGATGACACTGAATTAGGTTTCCTGTTCCTGATACAGAAGACAAGGAAAACCCTTCCCTGTGATTTACAAGTTGAGTTAAGAGTTTCTGTGTAGTCCTGTGAAACAGAGACATGGACAGATTCCTTCTTTTGCAGAGTCAGGAGTCTCATCTTTGCCACAGGATCAAACTGTTGTACCTAACTGCAGTTTGGAACTAAGTAATCCTAGGGCCAAGAGATTTGGCCCAGCACACAGTTATGAAGAAGAGTAGAAAAGCAACACTGATGTGTAAGGGCTCCCTTACTAACAGGGAAAACAACCAGCTCCCACTGTGAGGTGGCAATGACTGAAACCCCTGCCAGGAAAGAAAGCAGAGATCCTGTACCAGTGTTAACTCTTGTATCTTTTGAACTGTACACTCTATAGTTTCTGTTTTCTCATTGCATCCCTCAAGGTGTTCTATATAGAATTATTATTTCCTCCCTGGAAGTTGGAGGTCACTTCTGTTCCAAAACGGGAGAAAGATCCAGAAGCAAACTAACTTCACCAGCATGCTTTAAGGTAAAAGCTATGGTAACCATAACCAATGGTAATTTGACATTCAATTTAGAACATTCAATTTAATGTTCAATTTAGAATGTTAAATTTATGTATTCATAAATAGGTGAATATATTCCAAAGGCTGAAATTTTTGATCATTTAATTTGATTCAATTAACATCTCCATACAAGGCAACCCATTGCACTACCCGCAGCAAAACAGCTGAAAATTTTGGTGAAAACAAAGGATTTTTTTAAAGCTTAATTGAATTGAGCCCTTTGTTTATTATAGGGAAAGTAATAGTAATTTACTATGGGGGGAAAAAGGGGCTTTATTTTAAAAACTGCATAAGAAAATCATACTGATAGAGTACAAATAGGGTTGGGGAATTAATCAGATAAGTTTGCCCAACTCTCACAGCTTTCTGTTCTAAGCAGAATCGTTTACCTCTGCATTATGTCCAGTAAAAAAACCCAAACAACTCACCACTAAAAAACCTGTATTCTCCTGAGTGAATTTCCATCTGCAACTGACTGAAGTCCTGCAAACAATTTGTGTGATGATTCACAGGAAGGAATAGGTTTCAATTCCTTCTCTTTGAGCTGTGTTGGTTTGGCAAGGAAATAGGAGCAAAACAATGTTAGTCACAATTATGAGACCTGGCCTAGAATTCCCATTGAATATATATGATGAGAAGTGAATTACCTCTCATATACATAGTGTTTTTTAAAAAATACAGCTTAATAGAAAATATGTTATAGCTTTTTACATATATCTTAATAGAAACACTGACTAAAGTGCTTTATATAAAAAACAAAACACACATGCTGAAAATCGTTTCACTGAATGTTGTGACATAATCTTATTTATATTGTATATACTCTTAATTTCTACATTTGTATCACAAAATCTTATTTTTATGAAATTGAGGGGTTTTGCCATCTTGTTTCTGAGGCCTTAGGACACATTTAGGACCTGTTTCGAGGTCCCTGCAATTTTCACTGCAATTTGAAAGAGTTAGGAACTTTTTTAGCTTTGAGTTCTTGCAAAAAAACCTCAGTTTCTTTGATATACTGAAGTTTTGAAGAAAGCCAACCAGGTTATAACTCTTCACAGGTAGTTCCAGCCACCTGTGGCAAAATCACTTGCCGGAGCCGTGGAAAAGAGTTTGGCTTGCTGATGCAGCTGCATTCCCCGCGCTGCTGCTAGGACGTAGCTACATTTACTAAACTTGCTGGTTTCCTCTGCTTTTGTTTTGGGGCTGTGGCTTTTCAATCCTCGTGCGATTCTCAGTCTCATATCGGCATTTTCTAGCGCAGCATTCCTGTATGAACAGGTAGGAAAGGAACAGTTCCGACGTGAGACTGAGAAAAGTCACGGGGAGACACCGCTTTGCGGGTGGCTGGGCGAGTACTTTGTCGGGCTGGGGCTGTTTGTTCCGCAGCGGCTCCGCGGTGCTGGCCGGGAATCACG